CCAGGAGGGTCACCCATGGTGCACAGGTTTTAGTGGAGCTTCCAGACTAAGACAGACAATTGTGCTCATGTGGAACCTGTACACAGACCAAGAGGCAGTCATTCAAGCAAAACAAGGGGATACTACATGGTTTAAAATCAGGAAAGCTGTGCATTCTTATCTAATCTGTTTGCCGAGCAAATAATCCAAGAAGCTGGACTATATGAGAATGCAGCATCAGGACTGGAGGAAGACTCATTAACAACCTGTGATATGCAGATGACATAACCCTGTATAATGAAAACAAAGATGACATGAAGCACTTACTGATGAAGATCAAAGACTATATCCTTCAGTACAGATTATACTTCAACATAAAGAAAACAAAAATCCTCACAACTCGATCAATAAGCAACATCATGATAAACGAAGAAAATATTGAAGTTATCAAGGATTTCATTTTACTTGGATCCACAATCAACGCCCACAGAAGCAGCAGTCAAGAAATCAAAGGACATACCGCACTGGGCAAATCTGTCGCAGAAGACCTCTTTAAAGTGTTAAAAAGCAAAGATATCACTCTGAGGACTAAGGTGTGCCTGACCCAAGCCATGGTAATTTCAATCGCCTCATATGCACGCAAAAGCTGGACAACAAATAAGGAGGACTGAAGAAGAACTGATGCCTTTGAATTGAGGGTCAGCGAAAAAGAGGAAGATCCTCAATGAGAAGGACAGACCAGTGGCTGCAAAGGTGAGCTCAAACACAGTTATGACTGCTGATGATGGCACAGGACTAGGCAGTGTCTTGTTCTGTTGTACGTAGGGTCACTATGAGTCAGGATCGACTCGAAGGCACCTAACAACAATATAAATACGTGTGTATGTGTATATATGTAGATATATATACATACACACATATATATAGTCGGCCCTCTGTATCCACAGGTTCTGCATCTGCGGGTTCAACCAACCGCGGATCCAAAATATTCAGGAAAAAAGAAAGAGCTCAAGGGCCTGGAGGCAATGTGGAGGGTAGCACAAGGCAAGACAGGGTTCAACCCCAAGGAACAGTATACGGTTGTGAAGGAAGACGCTCCCAGGAGGACAGAGGTAGCTGCACCCTGACACAATTTAGAAAGTGAGGACACTAGGAATAGGGTCATATCACCTAGGATCTGGCACAGCATGTCTGTGGCAGAGGTCTCGGGTCCACAAGGAGAGAACAAAGTTGACAGGCCTAGGACCTAGCACCCTCTGCACCATGTATGTGTGGGCATCCAAAGTCACCCAGAACCTCCTACCTGAAGGATGCCTGGATCAGAGGGCAGCTGCAGCAGGAGGGCCTGGATGCTGCTGTCTTTAAAACTGCCTGCTTTGATCCATTGCCTCACACATCTGCCCTAACCTGGTTCGACAATCACTATTCCACTTCAAAGTGAAACACTGTTTGCTCTTCTGCTACGTAAAAACAAACAAAAACAACCTATGCCATTTTATATAAAGGACTTGAGCAATCCACAGATTCTGGTATCTGCGGGGGGTCCTGGAACCAATCCCTGCAGATACTGAGGGAAGACTGTGTGTGCGTGCGTGTGTGTGTGTGTGTGTACTGAGGGAAGACTGTGTGTGTGTGTGTGTGTGTGTGTGTGTGTATACATATATATACATATAAAGAATTATATACATTCTCAGTGATTATTTCTTCAAATATTGCTTCTGCCCAGTATTCTTTCTCCTCGCCTCCTAGGACTCCAATCTCACATATGTTAGACCTTTTCATTATATCCTCTGAGACTCAGCCTTTGTTTGAATTTTCCATCTTTTTGTGCTTCCAGGCTTCATTCTTCTATCCTATCTTTTGTTGTTGTTACTGTTGTTAGGTGCCATCAAGTCAGTTCTGACTCATAGCGACCCTATGTACAAAAACGAAACACTGCCTGGTCCTGTGCCATCCTCACAGTCACTGTGTCAATCTATCTCTTGGAGGGTCTTCCTCTTTTTGGCTGACCCTCTACGTTACCAAGCATGATGTCCTTCTCCAGGGACTGGTCCCTCCTAATAATACATCCAAAGTACATGAGACAAAGTCTCACCATCTTCATTTGTGAAGAGCATTCTGGCTGTAGTTCTTCCACGACAGCTTTGTTCGTTCTTCTGGCAGTTCACAGTATATTCAATATTCTTTGCCAACACCATAATTTAAAGGCATCAATTCTTCCTCAGTCCTCCTTATTCATTGTCCAGCTTTTGCAGGCATTTGAGGCAACTGAAATTACCATGGCTTGGGTCAGGCACACCTCAGTCCTCAAAGTGACATCTTTGCTTTTAAACATTTTAGAAAAGGTCTTCTGCAACAGGTTTGCCCAGTGCAGTATGTCTTCTGATTTCCTGACTGCTGCTTCCATGGGCATTGATTGTGGGTCCAAGTAAAATGAAATCCTTGACAACTTTAATCTTTTCTCTGTTTGTGATGCTGCTGTGAGGATTTCTGTTTTCTTTATGCTGAGGTGTAATCCATACTGAAGGACATAGTCTTTGATCTTCATCAGTAAGTGCTTTATGTTGTCTTTGTTTTCATCATAGAAGGCTGTGTCATCTGCATATCGCAAGTTGTTAATGAGTCTTCCTCCAATCCTGATTCCGCGTTCTTCATACAGTCCAACTTCTCAGATTATTTGCTCAGCGTACAGATTGAATAAGTACGGTGAAAGTATAAAACCCTGATGCACAGTTTTCCGGATTTTAAACCACACAGTAACCCCTTGTTCTGTCTGAACAACTGTTATCCATAATTTGTTATGATCCACACAACTGAATGCCAATAAAACACAGGTAAACATCTTCCTGGTATTCTCTGCTTTCAGCCAAGATCCATCTGACATCTGCAATGATATCTCTCGTTCCACGCCCTCTTCTGAATCTGGCTTGAATTTCTGGCAGCTCCCTGTCAATGTAACTGCTGCAGCCATTTCTAAATTATCTTCAGCAAAATTTTACTTGAAGGTGATATTAACGATACTGTTCAATAATTTTCACATTCTGTTGGATCATCTGTCTTTGGAATGGGCACACATATGGATTTCTTCCAGCTGGTTGGCCAGGTAGCTATCTCCAAATTTCTTGGCATAGGAGAGTAAGCACTTCCAGCATTACATTCGTTTGTTGAAATATCTCAATTGGTATTCTGTCAATTCCTGAAGCCTTGTTTTTCGCCAACACCTTCAGTGCAGATTGGACTTTTTCCTTTAATACCATTGGTTTTTGATTGTGTGCTACCTCCTGAAATGGTTGAATGTCAAACAACTCTTTTGGTACAGTGACTCTGTGCATTCCCTCCATTTTCTTTCGATGCTTCCTTTGTCTTTCAGTATTTTGCGCATAGAATTCTTCAATACTGCAACTCAAGGCCTGCATTTTTTTTTCTGCAGGTCTTTCAGCTTGAGAAATACTAACCTAGGTCTTTGCACATTTCATTATAATACTTTGCTTTGTCTTCTCGAGCAACCCTTTGAAATCTTGTGTTTAGCTCTTTTATCATTGCTTCCATTCACTTTAGCTACTCTACATTCAAGAGCAAGTTTCAGAGTCTCTTCTGGCATCCATTTTAGTCTTTTCTTTCTTTCCTGTCTTTTTAATGACCTTTTGCTCTCTTCACATTTGATGTCCTCGATGTCATCTTACAACTCGTTGGTTCTTCGGTCATTAGTGTTCAGTGTATCATATCTATTCTTGAGAGAGTCTCTAAATGCAAATGAGATATAGTCAAAGTTGTACTTTGGCTCTCATGGACTTGCCTTTGTCTTCAGCTTTAACTTGAACTTGCATATGAGCAACTGATGGTCTGTTCCATAATCAGCCGCTGGCCTTGTTCTGAGTGATAATACTGAGGTTCTCCACCCTCTCTCCACAGATGTAGTCAATCTTACCCTTTAGACTTCACCAGTTCTCTCTTTTGCTTTGTCTATCTGTTATTAAACTCACCCAGTGAGTTTTTAATATTATTACATTTTTTAGTAATAATTTCCATTTTCTAAACATTTGCAGTTCCAATAACGTCTATTTCTCTCTTTCTCATCATTTTTTACTAAGTTATTCAGCCATTTCCATGATTTTCCTAAGGAAGACGTCCTTACATTTTTATGGAATGAATGTATTCAATACATGCAGTCAGGAATTCTTCTGTAAGTGATTTGTTTTCAGCTGTTTCCAGGAACACCCAGTATCTAAAAGCAGGGAGGGACTACCTTTTCTTGCTTTCATATAACAACAACGATAATTGTGCACATTAAGAGATAAGGATGATTTAACATCATGATAATCCAGAGCAATACAGTTATTCTTGTAACTTCTTTGCCATATACACCACATAACATCATGATATCTATCTTTATGAGCATTTCAGGGCTACGCAGGTACATCTACGACATGTTTAAACTGCTAGTCCGCTTGAGAGCGGTTCAGAGTGAAAGAACATATTTGGCTGCAACTATGACAAAGTGTGGATGTTCTACCTGTGACCTCCAAAACAGATCCTTCAGAGAACCTCTCAATTCTATTTGTATCTCTAGAAATAGGCCCATTATTTCTTCCTATTCCAATAACACTTCATGTTATTGTAAGATAAATCAGTTAACAGTCTAACTTTAGTGAAGGCAGATACAGAAATAAACAGATACAGAAAGCTTCTCTTTAAGAAATTGCCTTGATATAAATGTTGTATTAAGGCAGTTCAGTCTTTACAAAAGAACAATGTCAATACTTACTGAATGAATGAGTAACTGGACTTAAGGCCAAGGTATAAGGAAGAAAAACACGATGATGTGAGAAAATGTTAAGTATTAGTTAAACTATCCCTCAGAAGGAATTTAAGTTTTCAAAGGGATCTGCTTACTTTAGTCATATATCCCCATTTTTTCCTCTTCATTTCAATTTGGTAGAAAGGCCCTGTTCCAGGAAAAATACTCCTTTGTCTCTGATAGGATTGATGCCTACAGAGTGAAACAGTAGAAATATACTCACCCACTGGGCTGCTTCCAGCTCCATTTGGCACTGTGAGGTCAGAAGTATTCAACATCCCACCTAACAGCATTACGCAGAGAAGAGAAAGGGGAGAGAATGAATATGAATTAGCTCTCCTTATCTCACAGAATACAGGTAACCCCTGCTTCATTCTTATAAAACACAAAAAGTGGCCTAGTATGAACATGGTATTAATGTGTAATTTGATGTAATCATATATATGAGTCTGCCTATCAAGCTTATACTGACAAGAATAGGGAGAATGCTCATGGAGTACTAGTAAATCTACAACTAAAGGCAGAGGAGACACTGCATAAGAGAGTAATGCAGTAAATGCACTGTAAATTTCTGCCGAATGAATGATACAATTTAGGCAGGGGGAAATACAAAAAACACTCTAACTTCAATCAGGCAAGTCTATCCTCCATATTTCTAACATAAATGGTATACTGTCGTTGTCTGCCGTCATTGAGTCTATTTTCGACTCACAGTGACCCAATGTGAGAGTAGAACTGCCCCATAAGGTTTTCTAGGCTGTAATCTTTATGGGAGCAGATCACCAGGTCTTTTCTCCTGTGGAACCACTGAGTGGGTTCGAACCAGTAACCTTCTGGTTAGGTGGTCAGCGGCAGAGCACTTAACCACTGCACCATCAGGGCTCCCTAAATGGCTTACACCCAACTTTAAATCCTTGCTTATGATAACCTAATTAAATTTTCTGCTTGTCAAAGTATGGCTTTCTCATGATAAAGAAAACTTATACAGAGGGCAGTTTCTTTATACTGTTACAATGTGCCTGGCACAGTGCTAGATCCATAGGAGGTACTGAAGAAAATAAAATGGAGCCAATCATGTAGTAGTTATTCTTACTCATCAAAGCAATAAATTAAGAGTGGCAGAATAATTTATGCTTATGTTAGCAATTAGTTTTTTACCCCCCTCTTTGTGAAAGAATCAGCAGAACATATTCACTACAAACCTGCATTGCCAGTACTTGGTGGTCTCTGAGGGGCTCCAGGGGATACATTTCTATGTAATGTAGCTTGAGGTGGAGAGAGCATGCTTGAATCTGCTAACGTTGAGCTGGATGTCAAAGATGGGGACACAAGTGAACTCCCTGGGTTTGTGTAGGACAAAGCATTAGGGCTAGTCACAGGGACTGTGACAGACATTGAGAAGTTCTGAGGTGGCAAACCAGGCTGCAAATAAAGAAGGAAGAGAAAACTATCAGTTTAATTTTCATCTATATTAAATAACTTACAAACTTTAGTTTGACAAGGTACCTCCAGGAATTAAAAATAGAGGATGGAAATAGGTTCTTAAATCTATTTGCAGATTTAAGCTATTTGCTTTAGAATTATACTTTAACGTGAATATGTTTGACATGAACCTTTTCAGTTTCAATTTTTATACACTGATATTATACATACTAATATAATCTATATTATATATTTCAAATATTCCTAGAGATGAAAATTAGAGGTTAGCATGTGATAGTAGAGCAGTGTAGACAAACTTAGACATTAAAAATATATCACTGTTACCAAGGAAGCATAAATTAGAGACATTACATTTCTATAAGGAGATTCCAAACATAACAAAAGGGAAAAAAGTGTGTACATTTATTATCAACTTAATATGCTAAACGTGGGACATTATAAAAAAGTCCAGGTCTGATTTAACTGACTGACATTCTCAATGGGCAAAACTAAAGGAAAATCAAGTTATTATATATATAACACAATGCAATCTGAGTATAATGAAGCTGCAAAGAAACTTTAAAATTTAAACAACAAAATTACTGACAAGCTAGTAAAGAAATATTTGGTATGAGTTCTTTAAACTTTATTAAGATTAAATTACAAATATCATAAATGCTATCTTCCCTCCTTCCAAAATATTCCACACCTATTCATACTGTCTTTGAGTTTGCCAAAATTACACTTCTAATTCTATTTTCCTCTTGCATTTCTCAAATATACCATTTATAATACAATTATTAACCATCAAACGATGTACTGCATTGGGCAAATCTGTTGCAAAAGACCTCATTAAAGTATTAAAAAGCAAGGATGCTGCTCTGAGGACTAAGGCGCACCTGACTCGAGTCATGGTATTTTCAATCGCCTCATATGCATGTGAAAGTCGAGCAATGAAAAAGGAAGACCAAGGAAGAATTGACGCCTTTGAATTATGGCATTGGCGAAGAATACTGAATATACCACGGACTGCCAGAAGAACAAACAAATCTGTCTTAGAAGAAGTACAGCCAGACTGCTCTTAGAAGCTAGGATGGTAAGGCTTCATCTCAAGTAATTTGGACATGTTATTAGGAGGGACCAGTCCCTGGAGAAGGACATCATGCTAGGTAAAGTGAAAAAGAGGAAGACCCTTAACGAGATGGACTGACACAGTGGCTCCAAGAATGGGCTCAAACATAGGAACAACTGTGAGGATGGCACAGGACTGGGTAGTGTTTCATTCTGTTGTGTGAACATAGGATCCCTACGGGTTGGAACTGACTCAACAGCACCTAACAACAACAACATTAATCATGATAAACAGCAGCCCAGTTTACAATCTAAACTGAGAGGAGAAAAAAAATTTCCTTTCCCCTACATTTTAAGACAGTGATTTACAAAGTAAGGTAAAACTGCCAATTCAAAGTGAGAAGGATATATACATAGTTTATATACTCTATTCAATAGTAGTTTATTTCAGATGGAAAACTATAATAATTAATCAACAAATACAGAACAATGGATATATGATTTAAAAAACTTCCAAGGTACAACAATTTCATTCATGCAGTATTTTTGCTGCTTCACATTAACTAGTTATTCCTCATGACATCCCTGCAAGGTTTATTTTGTTTGAAAAATAATAACATCATCACAGAACAGCCCCTTTATATCTATTGTTCATAAGCATCTTCTTAGAGCATAGGTTTATTTTGAAGAAATTATCCATGATGCATTCTTTGGGGCATGGTTTTAAGAAAATTAATCCTAACAATGAAATAAGTATTAGCTTTGGAACCAAAGTGTTCCATGAAGCCTATATTACATATATAAAATTAGGAAACTACATCCAGAATAGGTATTTTAAACAGTTCTTGCCAATGGAGCTTCAGGTGTGAGAAGAACTCTTAAAAGAACTATCAAGTTCTGGAATGTGAACTCAAGAAGCAGTTAGTTTCACTATGGTTAAATGTATAAGCATGGAAAAAATTTAAATCAACTATTTGTTTTGCAACCAGTGTAAGAGCATTGCTTCCTTAAAATTAAATGAAGCTAGGCTTCTCTTCCACAGTACCTACAGTATAAGAAAAGAGTAGGAGTTTGGTAGTATCTGTTGCCAAGTGGGACATTTACAAAGCACAGAGCCAAACTGGCTTAGCTCTACTACTATTACAGCAATTGTGCAAAGTAATCATAAATAATTTTGAAATACTAAATTTTATAAGAAACATAATCACTTTACACTTTATATAGTATCTTTTAAAAGTCATGGGAGAGAAAGTAAATTCTGATATATCCACTATATTTAGAATCATGGAATATTTGAGCTGGAAGGAACCTTAATACTTAGGTGAGCCAAATCACTCATTTACAGATGAGGACTTTAATATTTACATGAGTCAAATCACTCATTTACAGATGGAATCTCAAAGGCACAGGGGTAATAAGTAGCAGAGGCTGGATTAGGTCATTTTCTTTTCACTTCTACTTTTAAAATACTGAATATGTATTATTATAAGATTTGAGCAATTTCATTTTTAAATTCTATAAAACCAAAATAAAAATTAGTAACATGGTAGGTTTTTTTTCCTTCGACTTATATTGTCATCACTCACTGTGAAAATAAACAACAAGATGCGTGGTCAATGTCTTCATGCACAAGATAAAAGCACAAACCATACTTTAGTACTCACTGCGATTTTATGATTCCTCATCATATTATCAAATTCCTCATTAATTTTTTTATATTTTTCTTCCGTATGTGGAGTTAGCACATATGAAGTATCAGGGTCTGGGCTGTCGCACCCTCTGTGTTCCTTCTTGTTCAGAGCCTAAATAATGAAGTTAACAAAAAGGATCAACAAATAAAAAGTAGAGGTAAAGTAAAAGTACTTACAGGGCCTCGTTTGAAAATAAAATCACTATCTTCATTTAGTTTGCTGAATCTGTCCTCCGAGAGTGGACTGTGCTCAAAGTAATCGTCAGCATCAGGGCTCTCACAACCATTAAGGCCTTTCTTTCTTAAAGTCTGAAATACAATTGGAAAATTCACACACAAATAATACTAACTTGCCATGAATTTTTCTGTAAAAATTTTAAGAGAGCACAGACTGAATGAATTGAATTATACAAGAGCCACTGAAATGGTTTCAAATAATCACAAATGTACTCTAATTTTTCAAATAAGGTAAATCTCAGATGAAATCAAAATAAATGCTCCTGTTGTACATTAAGAGAAAAGGCATATATACTTGTTCGGATTCTCCCTTTCCAAACTACTTACAGAACACTAAATTACTCACTGCTGACAGTTACACTCAAATCAGATTACAGCCTCATCAACTTATTTAATAGGACCAGAGAGCATAAGAACTGAAATAGAAATGTATCAAAACGATGCTCTGAGAAGGTATCACAGTACCTTTATAAGATTTTAGCAACTTCATCTACTGACATTCCTTTCTGCCTATTAGACTTTATCCTAATTCACCAAAAAGAATTAACACAGTATTCCACTAATTTAACTCCTGATTTGTTTTTGAATACTAACATTTTCATTTTCTTACATAACTATGAAGCATAAAAACTCAAATGTAATACTTATGTCTTTATATGTCAGTAATGACTCCTATGTAGATTACATGTATATTATTAATGACTTTACATATTTAAAAATTTTTAATCGCAAGTTTCCCCCCTTTGCTAGCTCCTTCTAAAGAGCTCCTTTATGGTTTAATTTATTTTACTGAATTGACTTTCTGGAGAATTTTCTCAGAGTGTCATCAAAGCATACCCTAAACCATACTGACGCTTCTTCCCCTTGCGTAGGGGTAAACATATAATGAATATGGGTTGATTTTCTGATTTTTAATTTTTTTCTAACTTACAAAGTCATCATGAAATGACTTGTTTAGTTTTCAAAAGAATAAATTTAAAACCAAGGACTTAGATACGGAATATTAGTTAATTTCTAGAATGTCTAAGGGCTTGTTTTTTTTAATATCCTTATGGGTCTTATATTAAGGTGTTGTAGTTATTTGCTGTCTAGTTAGTTCCAATTCATAGCAACCCTATAGGACACTGCAGAACCATCCCATAAGGTTTCCAAAGAGCAACTGGTGGATTTGAACTGCTGACCTTTTGGTTAGCAGCCAAGCACTATGCCACCAGGGTTCCCAGATAAGTTCATTACTAAATATTATTTACACTATATTTAAGGTGTATTTTTAATAATTCATAATAATAGATCTTAATGTCCTTTAAAACATGATCTGCAATAAGTATGGATGCTTATTTTACTTCTTATTTTTTTTCTTGAAGGCAGTAGAATGTAAACACACAGTATATTAAGAGTGGAGAACTTGTTTCTCAGAAGTCGTATTATATATTTATTCAACTTGATTTTTATTGCGTGCATAAAGAATCATAGGTAATCATTAGTATAGATATGTTAGCTTCTCAAATTGCTTGGCATGTACTAGGAATTCCACACACAATGCCTGAAATTCCCATTACACTAAACACGAGTTTAGTGTAAACACCTGTTTTCCCAACATCTGCCTCATGGCACTGAGCTTTGTGGGTCTAACTACCATGGACATTTATGTGCACTTAGCCATAAAGGGGCCTGTTGTTTAGAACACTGAAGGATGGAGATATTTATCCTCTCCCATCCATAGTAGCAAATTCTGCCTGCCAGTTCGCTGCACGTTGCTATCAGTGGTGAAAATGTTTAACAGTCAGAATACTGGAACACATTTAACTCTGATAACCCACACAGCCCTAGAAACACTAGCTACATACAGATTTTGGCAAAATCATGAAGCTGATTTATTTAAAAACCAGAAATTGAAGAGTACTTTAAATACAAATTAACATTGATAGTTTATTACAATTTTAAGACTATGAACAATTGATTTACTTTCATTCTAGACTGAAATCTCTAGCTACTTTCTCCTCATTTTCATATATTTTAAGACTAAGTAATAATCTTGCTCTTCTTGATATGATGAAATGCTAGTCACTAAACTTTCCTTAGACAGCAATTATCAAATATCTCTTTGAACATTTTCTAATGTATAGAAGAAAAAGAATATGGCATTTAATAATTACATTTAACTTCTATTCTACAACAGTAGGGTTAACCCTACTAGTACTCATGGGGACAGAAAGCTCTCTCCATTATCACCAGCTCTGCAAGCCTTCACTTTAGAAGGGGCTCCTGTCATGCTGAGGGAATTTAAGAGGCTGTATCAGCTATGTAGATAACAAGCTAATGTACCTCTGTTGATATGCAACTTCTGTCTCCCTATCACCAAAACATGAAGAGTTGTTTTGAGGACCCAACTACCATAAAAAGACTTTTTCTGTCTTCTTTATCATTACTGAACAGTATAATAGTAAAAGTTTCTCCTGTGTCGCTGGTACTAACAAGTGGAATGCTGTAATCTATTAACAAGGCCAGGAGAGGGATATGAGAGACAGGCCAGTTTCAGTTTTGCAACACATTTCGCTACAATCAAAAAACACCTGCTCGATGAAAAACACAGCCTGAGAGGTCACCAATATGAGGAATCGGCGTATAAGTGGGAAAAAATTCATAAAGAGTACTAGCATTTGCCAGCGTGCACTCTATGGCTATTACTGTTTATTACTGTGTTCCCTTCTAAAGTAAACAAAACTTCTAAATTCTTTGTTCCTTGCGAATGTGAGTGAGAGCGTTTCAGTGTCATTCTGGCAGACTGAAGGGGAAAACTCAATTCTGCCTACATAATTTAAAATTTCAGTGGCATCTACCATTTATCTCAGCTGCTTTTCTGAAATATAATTGTATTCTGAAATATATATTATAAATCGCTAAAGGGATCTGTTGTGATAAGCAATTAAATTATTAATCAACTTAAGCTAACCTGACAAAACCTATTCTATAGCCGTGTTCCAAAACATGTTTAAAAGATTTAATTGGCACTATTACTTAAACAAAACTCTAAAATTTTGTACCTATAAATTCTCATCAGCCTATTTCTATAGAAAACAAAAATTTTATTTTCGGAAGGCCAGTTAAGCACCTTTAAAAAACAAACATTTTTCTATTTGTCATAATAAAGTTAAGTTTCTATTTTGATTTTAAAGGTTTTTCTTTTTGTGATTTTTGGCCAATTCAGGTACTTTCTGCATACTGGTATTTATGGTACAAAATGTAGGTTTTAAATAATGAATATCCTTATTTAACATTTACTTTTCAGCAACAGTTATGTAAGAACAAATTGTGAAAGACTTTTAAATGGACCAAAAAATATTACTAAGCATCTTTAATAGAAAACTTTGCATTTTTTAGTGCACCCCCTTGCAAGTTACCTGATTCTGTGGAGTTTGTGTCTTTATTGTTTTTAGCTCTTTTATAACAGTGTAGAAATAAAAGTTAACTTGTAGAAAACTGACAGTAATGCATATATGTGTTTATAGACATTCATATAAATTCTGCCTAGTGGAGGTACAAGGTGCCCTGGTGGTCCAGTGGTTAACATGATCAACTGCTGAGAGGTCGGAAGTTCGAAACCACCAGCTGCTCCTCGGAGAAAGATGTGGCAGTCTGCTTCCACAGATATTTACAGCCTTGAAAATCCTACAGGGTCGCTATGAGTTGGAATCCACTCACTGGCAGTAGGTTTGGTTTTGGGTGGGTTAGTGGAGGGTCGACTGACTTCCTTCCACCACTGTGGAAGAGGCCAGTTTTTGCATCTCTGAAGCAAATTCATTTCAGCCTTCCTGATAGGCTTATATGTTTGTCTGGTCTTTGGATCTGCCTGTTAATTGGTAATATTTTTTCTAGTTCCCTCCGTAATTAATGAGTTAAAATCTCTGACTCACACTCATGTAATATCTGTTTGAGAGTCATGATTTTACCTAAATTATCTTTTAACAGTTAAGAGAGTCCAACTAACCTTGACTCGTCATCATTTGTAACAGATTTAAACTTAGGGGAAAAGAGATTTCTAATAACCCTTGTTAGGACTTAGCATGGGACTGAAAAGTGTTTGTCTTTATGTAAAATTCTGAAAATATTTGATTACCTGATTAATGATCTATGTTAGTTTATATGGTATCAAATGATCAGAGAAAGCTTGTGACCTCTCAGTGCTCTTCTTCAAGGAATTAAAGTAACCCTTAATTCTTGTGACAATTCAGAAATTAAATGTTATTCATATCACAGCATTAAGAGCATAACTGTCTAAGACACCAAATCCCACAATCTGAAGTAAAGTTCCTTCTCATGTGAAGCTACTGAGATCTAGAGTGAAATTCAAGCTGATAGGGAAAGAGTGGGTCGTGTTCTGCTGCAAGCACTCCAGGGAAAAGGGATCCCTATATCACATCCATACTCTTTCTCCATGCTGAAAATGACCAAATTAAGCTAAAAAGTAAGAGAAGGTTTTGTTTTTGGTATTAATTTAACCATTTAATTTTTAAAAAGTCACCTATAGCCAAACTCTTATTTATCTGTTTTTTTTTGCTCATTTCAATTTCTATTCTCCCTGAAAACCTCTGATCTAGTCAGAGTAGTCAAAACTATTATCCTCTTAACGGTCACAAACATTCATTCACTGATGTCACCTCACCTGTTTGAAACCCTGCCCTCTCTTTTCTGCATGACTGTTTCATAGCTCATTATGGCCCAGTTTTAACCCCGCTTTTGCATGACACTTTTTTCTCCACTGCTTCTTACCCTAAAATTTTAAGAGGACTGACTTACTATGGGACATTAATGTAAGATATGGTAACTTTTATTTACCTATCTTCTGTATATTACCTGTATCCTCAACTAATCTAAGAACTTTCAAGCCACAGACTGAAGTTTAGATTGCTTTACATTTTCAGAGTCTAGACAAGATGCCATATATGCATACAATTTGCATTTATTAATATGTGCAGGATAAGAAAACACAGTAAAGGAAGAGAGAGATCAGGATGCTGTGGTGAGTAACTTCAGAAGTTTTCTAAAATACAAAGTTATGAATTTGTGAAAAT